GGATTTTTTCCCCCTCCAGTTTGTGCTTTTTTTTTTTTTTGCTCTAAATAGGTTTCTTTTTTTTTCTTTGCATTCTTGCGTTTTATTTATTTATTTATTTATACATGAACTCTGTGGTGTTGATGAATGGTAATGACTGGGCTACCGTTTCTATAGTAATTATTATTATGATTATGATTATTATTAATGGTATTGGGAGAACAATGAGAGGTTTAAATGCAGAGATTATATTATATATATTTCTTTTCGTTTGGTTACTTTAAATCTACATTCATGGATGTTTATGTAAATAATGTTATGTTTTTTCTTCTTTTCTTTTTCTTTTCTTCTTCATCTTTTTCACTGCTGATTTGGTTATTACAATAAAGCAAATATATATATATACATATATTTCTAGTGATCATCGTTTTTTTTTTTTTTTGTGAATATTTTTGTGAATATTTTTCTGGAGTGGTGAGAGGAAAACAATTTCTTCCTGCTGCCATCCGGTCTGACTTTATATATATATATATATATATAAATAAATATATATATTTAGGATAAAAAGTAAACAAATACAGGGATATCTATAGTCATTGATACTCTGTCACTGACTGAAGGAGGCGTGTAAAAGATAGATAGAAAAAGAAATCAATATATAAATAAATAAATATATATATATTTAAAGAATAAAAGGAAAAGACAAATATTTAAAGTTAAAGAAGCAATAAGGATAAATATACATTAACAAAAGAAAAAAGAAAGAAAGAAAAACAAACAATCAATAAAATAATAATCATAATAAAAAAGAAAAAAAAAAACACTCAATAGTCAAGTAGTATATTTCTGTAAAAAAAAAAAGGGGAGAATATTGAAAAGAACAAAAAGAAAAAGGGGGCAATTCTCTTAATTCATTCGTTAATTAACAAGAAAAAGAGAGAAAGAAAGAAAGAAGAAATGAAGGGAGTTCTGTTCATTGCAGCAGTGATATGTCTTTATGTGGCTTCTGCAGCCACCGCACAGGACTCCACACAAACAGAGACAATTGTGTTGATTCCAACAAATCAAACCATACTTTATTCAAAACAAAACATTACAGAAGCAAAGACTACGGCAAAAACCAATGTGAACAAATCATTACCAGTGAAAGCGATGGGAGGAGAAACTAATAATAATAATAAGAATAATAATAACAATAATAATGATAATAAAGGCAGCATCGGCGTGAGAACAGTATCTACACTTATGGGTGATACGACAACTACATTTATTATTGTATTCTCCGCCTCCTTTGGATTTGCCTTCGCTATGTATTGGTGGTATGTGGCCTCTGATATTAAGATCACCCCTGGACGAGATCAGGGAATGCGTAATGTCTATTTAACAGATGAGGTGATGCGAAATGTGTATGTGATCAGTCAACGTGTTTCTGAGGGGGCCACTGCCTTTCTCTTTGCCGAATACCGATATATGGGTTTATTCATGATGACATTTGGTTCCTTAATCTTTTTTCTCCTTGGCGTTGCCTTATCTTCCCCACAAGCAGGCGTGAAATCCGCCGAGTCCCCGTGGGTGAATGCCGCTCTCTCTTTATTTGCCTTCTTTACAGGCGCCTTCACATCTGTGTTGGCGGGATGGATTGGCATGCGGATTGCGGTCTACACGAATTGCCGAACAGCTGTGATGGCCACAGAAGGCAGTGATGAGGGCGATCAATCACGTGGATTTGCAATGGCGTTTCAAACGGCTTTTCGTGGGGGAATCACAATGGGATTTGCCCTCACCTCCGTTGGACTCTTTTCTCTCTTCGCTACGGTGAAAGTCATTCAGGCCTACTTTGGTGATTTGCCGGAGAATTTACCGGAATTATATGAATGTGTGGCGGCCTTTGGATTGGGTGGTTCGGCAGTCGCGTGTTTTGGTCGTGTGGGCGGTGGGATTTACACAAAAGCCGCAGACGTTGGAGCCGATCTCGTGGGAAAGTTGGAGAAAAACATTCCAGAAGATGATGCCCGTAATCCAGGTGTGATTGCGGATTGTATTGGAGATAATGTGGGAGATATTGCGGGTATGGGATCGGATCTCTTTGGTAGTTTTGGTGAGGCTTCCTGTGCGGCTCTTGTGATTGCGGCGAGTTCTGCAGAGTTGAGTGAAAACTTTACATCCATGATGTATCCACTTCTTATTACCGCAGTGGGTATTCTTGTTTGTATTGGGACTGCATTGATTGCAGCGACTAACAGTGGTGTGCAACGGGCAGAGGATGTGGAGCCAACACTGAAGCGACAATTACTTCTTTCTACGGTTTGTGCCACTATTGTAATGGTCTTCTTAACAGACTTTGCCTTACCCGCGGAGTTTATGATTGGCAATACACATACCACCAAATGGCGTGCACTTATTTGTGTTTTGTGTGGTTTATGGTCTGGTCTTATTATTGGATATACAACGGAATATTACACCTCTAACAGTTACCGTCCTGTTCAAGAGATTGCGGAAGCCTGTGAGACAGGGGCGGCAACAAATATTATTTATGGTCTTGCTCTTGGTTATGTTTCTGTGGTTCCTCCTATTATGGCTATGTCTGTAACGATTTATACTTCTTATCGTATGGCAGATCTTTATGGTTTTGCACTTGCCGCACTTGGTATTCTTTCTACCATGTCTATTGCACTTACTATTGATGCCTATGGTCCTATTTCGGATAATGCTGGTGGAATTGCAGAGATGGCACATATGGGGCATGAAATTCGTGAAATCACAGATGCGCTGGATGCGGCTGGGAATACCACTGCTGCTATTGGTAAAGGCTTTGCGATTGGATCTGCCGCCTTTGTTTCTCTTGCCTTATATGGAGCCTATATCTCTCGTGTTGGGATTCCCGTTGTGAATATTCTGGATGCTCGTGTAATGCCTGGTCTTCTTTTCGGGGCAATGCTTCCCTATTGTTTCTCTGCACTCACCATGAAGGCTGTGGGAGTAGCGGCAATGGATATGGTGAATGAGATCCGCCGGCAATTTCAAAACCCCGCCGTCTCGGAAGGCACAGAGGAACCGGATTATGAAAGTTGTGTGGCCATCGCAACAGAGGCGGCCTTGCGGGAAATGGTGGCACCAGCGTGTTTGGTGCTTTTTACTCCACTTGTGATGGGTGTGTTGTTTGGGCGATATACACTTGCGGGACTTTTGCCTGGGGCATTAGTGTCTGGTGTGCAGGTGGCGATTGCAGCCGCAAACACCGGTGGGGCGTGGGATAATGCGAAGAAGTACATTGAACAAGGTGGATTGCGGGATAAGAATAAGGGAAAAGGATCGCCACAACATGCCGCCGCAGTGATTGGAGATACCGTGGGAGATCCACTAAAGGATACCTCCGGACCAGCGTTGAATATTCTTATTAAATTAATGGCTATCATTTCTGTTGTGTTTGCACCAGTCTTTCAGTCAAAACTCGGTGGAGTACTTTTGGCATTGATTGAATGAGAGACACTAGGGGGAAATAAATAACAGTCTATATGTTCTCTATTCTATGGTTTAATGTACTCTATTCGA